TTGTACTTTCAAAATAATATGACATCTTAATTGTGGTTCTTATGCATTCTTCTGAGGACAGAATATTTGCTTATGTATGTAGTGAATGACAGACAAGATTCTAGGGTATAATGATTATTAATCCACGCAAGATGAAAAATATTAGATGTTATTGGCAGCTGATTAGTCAATTTTCATAGGCATTACATTATCACATGTTCAATCAGAAACTATGTTAATGATAACTAAGGTCAAAAATTCAGAATAACACTTAACCACATAATGGCAAATCTTAACACCACTACAGTTAATTTGAGAATCACTGCACTAACATATTCAAAATCACATCATCCATGTTAAGTGCATTAACCTCACATATGAAATAAGACTTATTGAACGATGGAAATGAAAATGTTACTCTAAATTCCCGGGCTTGACTGCATTTCCTTGTATTTCTCAACTCCCACACTCAGTTTCTGTTTTTCTGTGTTAGTAAAGTTTGTTTTGTGGTATTTTGTTTTCATTCATAGTTGCAACAGGAAGAAAGGCTTTTCAAGAAAACGTCAGAAAAAAAAAAGTATTAGCTTAGTTCCCTGAAGACATTTGCAAAAATAAGGTTAAAAAATCAAGTGAGGGAACTATATAAAGGAGGTGCAGGAGCAGGACGAGCAGGAATTAAATTTCCCTGAGATGATATTTTCGGTTGTGGTGGAGGTGGCCTGTGACAGGGGAAAAGAGATAGTTAATAGTGTGTCTGGACTGAAGGAATTAATGCTATATTCGTTACAAGCTCAACATAACACCATCCTCAACATCCCTGACAATAGGTAAGGGTACCTTATATCCTGAAATTATCACTAATATGTTATTCAGTGGTTAAAGGGCTCCAATTAGAGTGTAAGAAGAAATAACTACTTTAAATTAATACTAATCCATAATCAGCAATATTATATGAAGTTTCTAGTTTACATTTTTTTAAAAAGAATAATATATAAAATTGTAAAGCCAAATAGAGCTGAAACTCCAGCTCTCTCAACGTGATGTCCACTCTGAGAATTAATCCTGCCACTACTTCTGTATCTATCCATCTCGATCCTCAAACTTTAACCTGGGACACCCTTCCTTAACTTCTTCACCCAATCCTAATGTACCTCTATTCCGGTAACTGGAACACTACCTGATGAATTTCTCTCAGAATTTATATATTTTTCTCTTGATCCTCAGTTAGATTTCAATGTGCTTTTATTGCATAATTAAGATTTTGTATGAAGACACTCCTTAGTGTTGCAATGCGATTGTAATTTGAAGGACTTCTGGGGGGTGGGAGGGGTCACATGCATTTTAAGTGATGAGACATGTAGTAATAAATTTTCTCCTTTTCTGCTGATTTTAAGCCCATCCATTCCGTCTTTAATTTCAGTTCTTGTGTTTTTCAGTCCTAAACTTTTCAGTGATTCTTTTTTTAAAGTTTCTAGTTCTGTGCTGGAATTCTCAATCTTGACTATTAATTCCATGACATAATCATCAGTTATTTTAAAGTCCATATCTGATAACTATTAACTGGATATTCTCTGAGTCTGTTTCTACGTTCCTTTCCTTCATGATTTTAGTCATATATTCTTTTCTTGTACACTTGGCTTTTTTGACTGTGAGCCAAACATAAAAAAATACAGAAGTCAGTTGAAGGTCTAGTTCACACTTCCTCCTGGGTCCCAACACAAAGCCTGGGATATCTGCAGGGTACCTCCTCCTTGGAAGGACTCCAATCTTTGTCTCCTGTGAGTTCATTGAAAGTTCTCCTCAGCTTCCCAGCCTCTCAGTTGTCAGAATAGGTAAACACATCAGGAACATAAAAGTGGCCCCCCCAAGCTGGGAATATCTCTAGATGTCCTTCCTCTCCTGAACCTTATCCTCACAATTCCTTACTTCCTTGGTCTCCTGTGCCTTCAAAAACGTATTTTCTTACATTGTCTAGCTTCCCTAGCTATTCTCAATGGGAAAGCTGGTCCAACCCACCTGGTTTCCTAATGCTGGTTATCTTAAAAGCCCTTGCTTCTGAATCTTACATTTACCAAAGGCTGTAGCAGCAGCTAATTATATATGTCTTGCTCAGGCTTCTTTAAAATTTCATGTTGACACTGCACTAATATGGCAAAATTTATATAAAAGTTCTTAAGAAGCCTTTCTGCAAATCATATTCTATCTAAACTGTTGGCAATAAATACCTCACCCTAAATTAAATTAAAATACAAGGGAAATTATTAGACATTAACTCTTGGGTTTTATTCTGATCAAGTAATCTAAACAAATTCACTTCAGACCTTGATGGGAAGTGCTGAGGCTGCTTGGCTGCATAGGTTGGTACTGGAAATCTATTTGCATATATAGGCTAAAAAGAAAGAAATAATAAAAAGGTTATTA